ATTCAGCCATGACTCGCTCTTCCAGTGGTTTTTTAGGCCTGCTTCAACCCGAGGTTTGCGAACCGACGAAGGCACGCAGAATTTTTCCGGGGGTCCAATGGAACATTTTCTCATTATCATCTGAAGCGAAATTGAGCCAATACAGATGAAGTGATGGTTTTGACAATTAACCGGTCCGCAGAAGATTTTTTTTCATTTGTACCACTTCCTGGGTGTAAAAATGGCTCTTAGGAGCAAAATAACGAAGAAACTCTGGGCTCGATTTCACAGTCCGTCAATAGACCAATAGAATCAGTAAAGCAATGATCAGGGAGGACCAGCCCTCCCTGATCATTGCTGTTTTCTTCAAAATATTTTTAAATGTTTCTCTGAAGTGGCTGGGCAGCTACACTGGGCAAATACAAGATTACCAGAGGACCATGAACATACAAACATTTTAAAACATGGAAATGTTTCTATAATTTTGAGCATGATGCCCAGGTGTGGCTGGACACACCCAGCTTGTATTCAGTAAAGGAAGCCCAATTAAATACCGTACAATTAAACAACTGTCCAAAATTGTACTTCATTAAAAAAAAATGCAGAGGAACATTGACATCAGACCGACTCCGCGAAGACGTGGAAGAATTTTGGCACCTTCCATCACGACCGTACTAAACATGTGTGCCAGGACGGAGAAGGAAACGTCTGACGAGGAGTGAGGCCAAGGCACGACAAAATCACTACCCGGATACGACGAGATCGTGCTACAGGTACAGTACGATTCGCACACACCCCCATCGAAATTAGGCGCAACGGAGGATTGTATGATTTTGAACGGTAATCGAGACAAGTCAAGTCGTTCAACCGCACTAAAACGACGGTATCATGACCAAAAGGGCGACATTAGATCGTCGCAAACACTTCTCTCCGCGCAGAAAATTCGCGGAATTCGGATACGCTGGGAAACTTTGCTATCAAACAACGTTCAGTTTTACGTGTACACATGATTCGCTAGTTCGGAACACCCGGCATTTCGAACCTACTCTCGATCTACGAGCAGCTTTTCATGGGATTTATATGAGCTATTTAGGAGAGACCAATCACGATAGAAAAGGAACGGAAAACGTACCTCAACCAACGTTCAACCCACTTCGGAAAATCAACTATTAGGTCCCGAAACCTAGTGTAGTGAACAATGATAACTCCATGAGTCGTCAGAAATTTTCGTTTTCATGAGCTAGCATTCAATTCAAGTTTTATTCCGGCGATTAACAAGGGAACAGATTATATTGTAGAAAATACAGCTGGCGCCTTCGACTCCTGACAGTTTCAAAATAAAAAATCTCCCTTAGTAACTAAAACCTAGTTTAGCGAACAATCCTAGCCTCGTGAGATGACCAACATTTTTATTTTGTGAGCTCAAATTCAATTTGATTCTATTCCAGCAATAAACAAGGAAATAGATTATTTTCTAGGAAATACACTCGGCACCTTCGACTCTCGTAAGTTTCCCAATCAAAATTTTCCCTTAGTGCCTATTGCACGCAGCGTTCGGTTCGGAATATTCTGGCAATATAGTAACAATAACTGCACAATGAAACATCGTGCGCAGTTTTGAACAGGAGGGAACGGAGATTTTTTTTCGCTCTCCTTGCTACTGAAACATTTGCAAAAGAAAAACAGTTCGGTTCTTCGAAAACGGACTGTACTGTACAGTATAACGCGTCTTGTGACGGAATTGTGTCGGGAGTCCGCAGCAAGTACTGCCAGAGATGAGTTGGCACGAACGCCAAGTCGGAAATGGAAACCTCGACCGGGGCAGCCAAGACCTCGTTTCCGACGGTATCTCAATCGGACGATGAAAATGAAATTAGTTCTTCAGAGCAGCACGGTCCTCAAACAATCCCGCTCGGCCCGTTAAGCGCCAACCCCCATTCAGCGAAGCCACCGTTCCACGGGAAACGTCCGGGAATCGAGCATCTGAAGAATGAATCGGCGAGAGAAGCGAAATAACGAGCCCCGTCGGGCTTTCGTCAACACCAGCGACGCTCCCGTTTCTCGTAATGAGAGCCCGAGCGCATGAACTCGCGCTAGGGAACGATAATCAGCGCCCTAATGAGAGCAGGATTCCCACCGATTGTTTATTGCCGAAAGCCACTCGGCTTCTTTCCGACTGACCGACACAACGCGTTCAACTAAAAAAAAAAAAAACCCCGCTGAACAGTACAATTACCATTTGAACTCGTGCTTCAAACACAGACCTAGCTGTGAACAAAATCTTCAGAAGCTCATCAATCCAAGAGAACACTCAACAACTCACACTGTGCGTATACTGCATTAGCACGTGAGACCGGATGAACCTTTCTTATAAATACTGTATTGGAAACGGGCGGTTCCGAATGGAAAATTTACCTTGAGACCCCAAGTACTTCATGTACCGCTCAAGGTAGAACACAAGCAGTCATTTATTCTAGTCTCTCGTCTTTTATAGACAATATACTTATGCACACGCGATTTTCAACAACGCAAAGACTGACTCTTCACGCTAGATTGCGTTAAGTTATAGTACTGTACAACTCTATTATTATTCACTGCGGCAATAATGAATTGCTGTTCTTCAACTGCTCCAAATCCTGAAGTGTTGAAACGATCTTGAGCAATATCAACGCGTCAACAAAGTCTGATTAAAATTTCCAAGGTATGCGCGCGGATTAGCGGGAGATACACATTGAAATTTAATCTCAGCTGATATGGCAGTTGTGCAATGAAACGTTCAACTCGCGCGAAGACGGCGAAACGATTAGGAAAAGTAATGAAATATCACGCAGGCTTGTTTGCTTGAAGTTCTGGAAATACGTAATTAGATTTTTAAACGTGCGAAAACTATCTAACATTTAAAGTACGCAAACGAACCATGCCATAACTTCGAAGGTATTTGAGCGCGTGGAGGACACGAGCGCCCTCGCAATCTACTGAAGAGAAATATCTGTACTCTACAGTTCATAAAAAATATTCACTAATTAAAACGTATTTACCAAGAATACTTGCCAACTCCCCAAGTCCCCAATATATATTCACAACATTTACGGACTAATAATGCATGCAAACCAACTCTCACTAACTTGATTAATATATATTATTTAACGCTCTATCTTAATTAAATCATGAGCATGAAATAACATTCTAGGAAGAGCAGTTCAACTTCACGGTATTTACTCCCCGTACACCAACACCATCCCTTCTTTGATGAAAACACCCGAGGTTGACCACGATCCGTCTACAGGTCAAATCCATCTCACCAGACAATTTTCCAGGTCTCATGGAATTCTTACATTCCCACAAAAATCGCACTGACGGGTGACTTTGAGTCCACCAGATACTTTACGGCTGAATCTCATTAGAATCTCATCCACACCAAAAAAAAAACCAATCCAAAACACCATAAAAATACCGGGGATCGAAACCTACGCCTGATGAACCATGGATACCTTTCCCCACACCCACACTAGAAAAATATTTCCCAATCCAGTATTGTTTTATTTCATCAGAGTTAAGCGGCGAATTTTCTGGAAAGCAGGGTCTTGTAACAATATGGTCTCCCGTGCAATTATAGTGAACGAAACTTTTGTCACAACACTTCCCGTTATGATTTCCGGAACATTAATGAAGTACTCGCTCAGATTGATTTGAAGGCAACCATTAGTTGCAACTTTGTAAGAAATCCTGTCATTAAAGATTTGATTTTGCATGCGACAGGGTCAAATGTTTGAACAGTATTCAACCAAGCTTTCATTTGAATGGAGCATCACTTGAGCGGGTACATCACAACTTTCAGAACTTTCTTCGTCATGTATTCTCAAAAACACATGAATTACACATGCAGAAATTCCCAAGCTGTGGTCTTCGGAATGCTTAAAACTTTGAGGAAAATCTCAGCCTTAGGAAAGACCTGCGAAGAACGAGCGAAATTTGAACTACAAGTATGCGTCTTGAAAATTTTTATCTAATCAAGGCATAGATGGGATTCAAAGCCGACGTCGCATCCTCCCACCACATCCTCCATCAAATACGTCCGCAGATATAAAAATATGGAACGGTTTCGAAGTATTTTTGAACAAACTTGGAAAATTATAATCACTTCTGTTCAAGAAAACATGTTTTCCTTCGCTCCTAGATCCTCGAGACAATCTAGATCCTTGCGATATGCTAAGAAGTTCATGTTTCTTGAATGCATTCACACAATATTTTTCGAAGGATAAGAAATCTTCACCGCACATATACTTCCACATATCCCTTATATTCTGACGGAAATGAATGTCTGACTCAAGATTTATAATCCCGGGAACTTCCATCGCAACTATTAAAAGGCTCTTTTGTCTCAATAAATTCATGAATCTTCGGATTCTCCTTCGCCTCCTTTTTATTCTAAAGCCAACATCAAGGCCTATTGCATTCAAGAAGTACACTTGTGAAAGAACTGATAACTAGGTCACATTACTGTATTCATCATCTAGATTCTTCAGTTACTACTTGGCATTCGAAATTGGATCATTGCGAATGCAGCGAGAATAACCCGTTTACGTTTACACTAAAATTTACTGATGTTAATTTACTTACGTTCCTCAGGAAAGATTTTCAAGTGCTTTGATAAAAAAAAATATTCAACTCCCGGCAGCCGTGCAGAATTTCATGCTAAAATATGAGAAAATCCATTTTTTAACGTCAATTCCGCTGTGGTCATTTTCATTTTCTTTAGACTCTCGGTCGTGGACAATCCCTCAAATGACAATGGCGCATATGGAATTTCGTCCCTCCCCCTCTACATTCCACTTGGCCTGGCCTTCTCACATTCCACCTTCTCACGGGAACGACGAAAATCTTTGCCCACTTCGCATCGAAGCAAAAAGTTGAGCTTCCGTACGCCAGTTCATCGCAGCATTTCATACTCCAAAATTAACATTACGAACACTAGCTAACACGCGCAAAATTGCATGGCTTTCTACATAAAATGAACGAACCTTCTTTTGTTGTTTCTCCCATGCCGGATCAAGAAGCCCCTCACGCTCCCATTCTTCCTCTTGCTCCATATATCCGTCTTCAAATCCATTCATTGTGTTAGCCATGTCTGCAGCTCAAATCAAAGGATTCCTCGACACGCGGTTCACACGAGTCCTAATGATTTGATCTTCAGAAAAATCTTAGGGCCACCTACAGTTTTCGCATGAATCGCCCAACGCCCAAACTTCGGTCGATCGATCAAAACTAGAAACTATGTTCAGCACGGAGACACTTTTGAAATGTACAATCTGTAAATGAATCGAACTGAATCAAACACAATAGTGTAAGCTCGAGGACTTGAGCCACATAATCCAACAACGTAGAAAGGACGGCATAAAAAATACTGTACAGTATTCAGGTTTGAACACTCGATAAAGTCACCAAAGGAATTATCGTCTGTCCTTCAATATATGCAACTCAAGTGAACAATTAACATCATACTGGAAGGCGGAATTTTATCGCACAGATAACGGGACAGACGCTCAGATCTTCGGAATGCGAAAACACCTAACAAATACTCCACCCCCGAATCAAACTCAATTCCGAATGCTTTCAAACGAGAACGTTAAGTAAAAATACAGTCCACCGAGAAGGACGAACAGAAATGCTAGCTTTCCTCGTATATGTGGGAGAATTTCACAAGCTCCCGCAACCTTCTCCGGAAAACTGCAGGGCGCGCACCGCGGACAGCTCACGCAGCTCTGAAGTCGGTAGCAGAAAACACGGAGATCTTGGCTCACAAGCGGTGGGGAAAACCTGTGCCATCGACGCTGTCCGGCAAACAGAAGTGAGACAGCAAGAATGTTGGCCATTCTGCGCTCGGATGGAAACTCTCAACTCTTTAGAGAAGCGAGCGTAGTCTCAGTTAAACATTCAAAGCAGTACGCAGGAATAAAACTTTTAAAAGCATGATAATACATTAGAACACGAAATTCAATTATGGCGCACGGAATCACAGCGTCCCGGGGCCGGCCACCGGTGCAATCTCTATCTTGGAAAGCACCCTGTCGACTACCTACCGCCAGGGCTTCCTTTTCCGGCACATCTACGGAAAAAGGAGGGGGGATTAGACGCTCACCTCCTCGTGGTGACAGCCGAGATGTTCAATTGAACATTTTTCTATTCTTCAGGAAATTAAATAGATGTCACTTGTAACTAATGTTCACAAATACAGTGCGGTATAATCAATCTCCATGGAGTACTGTACAGTATTGTATGCCAAGGCATTGTCAGAGACAACAGCTTGTACAGTATATACAGCAGCTACAGAAATCTCGCCAACAGCAAGCTTGCTGAATGTTGACATGAGATGACGGACACAGGGGATATTATACTGTACATAGGAACCACTCAAAATATCTCAGCGCTGCCCAACTTTCCAAATAATGCTGAAAATTGAAAATCATTTGAAGATACCAGCCTGTATACCCAATACTTGGAACATTCGTGAAACGTATTTATTCAATGACTGACCATCTGAATAATATCATCAGATTTTTGTGGACATTGAAAAAAATAGACCCGTCTCTTCATCAGAAGCTTTCAATAATAAAATAATAATAAATAATAATAATATTTCAATAATAAAGTTCAATAATAAAAGGTCGAAAATATTTTATGAGCATGCTTCATTATTCTTAATAATCAAATAAGACATGCATGGTGCATCGTGTTGTGATGATGACTCGTCTGCTGCACACAGCAGTTCCTTAAAAAAAAGCATGGTTTTATTATTGTGACCCATTATATGCTGTAGCCGTGGAGGTGAAGTAGACCTTATTTCGAGGATGATCACTCCAGCAGTTTCATCCAGCTTTGAATCACATGCATAAAAATTCAGCCTTGCCGCATGGATGTTGAAACTCATTCATATAATCATGTTTTAAACATGTTCATTCAAAAATGGTGCAAAAGTTACCAACAATTTAAGCTTCAGCCAACAGTGGCAAAGAGGAAATGAATAGTATATTATATGCTGGAGTGGGGAAAATTGTGCACACTTGGGATATGCATGTCTTTCCACACAGTGACCCTGCTGTGCACCTGATGTGCACCAAGTTTTTTTCTTTGCCACTTGCATATCCCAAATGAGCACCAATTGTGTGATCACACTTGGGATACATCTGTAACCCTGGTGTAGAAGAGCTGTGTTTCCCAGGTGTACACCTCCTGTAACTTTTATCCTTACTACAATAAGGATACTTGTGTCACGCCCTCTTGTCTCTCCACAGAACTAGCTGTAATGTGCATCAACTGTGTGTTCACACCTGGGATGATCCTGTAACCCTGGTGTGCAAATGCAGTGTCTCCCATTTGTAGACCTACTGACTACTGTAACTTGTGTGCTTTATGCAGCAGGGTTACATGTGTGACCCTTTTGTCTCTTCACAGGGATAGCCCCAATGTGCACCAGCTGTGTGCTTCTCTTGTGATACATGATACTTCTGTAGATCTGAATGGTCTATAGAATCATTTGGATCACAGCTGTACACCTACTGTAACTTGTACAACTTGGATACTCTTGTGTTCCACATAAATTAGCCACAATGGGCACTGTGGTATCTTGTTCATTCAAATGGGAATCTCATATATGCTATGAAGGCAAACATGTTCATATAATAATCTCATTTTATTGAATCTCTTGTTATAGAGACTATCTTCTTCTAACAATTGTCTCATTTTAACAAATTGTTAAAAATTATGTATTATGCTGCCCAGATAATATTTTGTCTATTGAAGATGAGATCACAAAAATATCTCATGAATATCTGGCAATAATTTAGTTACAACAAATATTGTCATATCTTCTTATATACAGTATCAAGATTTGTAATATATTGTTACAATGAAATATGTTACAATTAAAAAATTCATTATAACAAAAATTCATTAGGATGAATATCTCAATGGAATAATTCACAATTTTTGAACTTATATATATAACTTGCTATAAAAAATATTTTGTTGTATTTTGTTATATTTTGTTGAAACAAATATTTTGTTACACTCTGTTATAACAAATATTTTGTTAAACTCTGTTATAACAAATATTTTGTTACACTCTGTTATAACAAATATTTTGTAACAAATATTTTATGGCAAATATTTTGTTATAATGAATTTTTGTTACAACAAATGTTTGATTTTTCTTATACTGTATATTCAATATTTGTTATAGCAAAGATTTTTTATAACAAATATTTCATTATGACAAATATTTCATTACAACAAATATTTCATTACAACAAATATTTCATTACATAACAAATATTTCACTATGAAAAATATTTCATTATAAAAAATATTTCATTATAAAAAATATTTCATTATAAAAAATATTTCATTATAAAAAATATTTCATTATAAAAAATATTTCATTATAAAAAATATTTCATTATAAAAAATATTTAATAATAACAAATATTTCATAATAACAAATATTTCATTCTAAAAAACATTTTATTATAATTAACAAACAGTTTATTGTAACAAATATTTTGTTAGAATAAACAACTTGTTATAACAAAATATTTATTTGTTATAACAACATAGTCATTATAATAAACTACTTGTTTTAACAAAATATGTGTATATTTGTCATTACAATATATTACATTATAACCGAACATTTCATCACAACAATTATGTGATTTTATTATAATGAATTTTGTGATGGTTATAATGAATTTTTCATAATTTTGTTATAATGAATATTTTTATGCTTATACCAATTTTTTGGTTATAACAAATATGTTCATTTCAACAAATATGAAAATTATAACAAATACATTTGTTATAACAATAAGTTATTCTTGAAAACAAATATGTCATTAGGTTTTATATAAATATATTGTAAAATATACAGTATTTGTTATAACAGGGTATAACAAGATGTTTGTTTTAATGAGAATCTCAATATAATGGAAGATCCTTTTCATAAGGAATATGATTATCATTACTATGGATGAGATCCACTGTATAGCAAATTAATTTCTCACCATTAAAAGCAATGTTCTCATCATATCAAAATTCTTGTCAGGTCTATTATAATATACATATATAAAGGTAATTTTGTTGTAATAAACAAGAATCTCATTTTAATGAACATGATTATCATCAAAATCAACATTATTCTCTTTAAAATGAATAAAATCAACCTAATTCGCATCATAACATGATGGTCATATTACAATGAACAAGATACATTTTATAACAATATTTTTGTTCCATGAACTAGACTACTGTAATGAGATATTCTCATTATAAAAAATGATACTCTTGTTCTGCATGCATTTATGAAGCTATACAGTACAGTATATGCAAGAAATTATTGCACTTGAAGGAACCCTTCATTTGTGCATCAACAAAACAAATGTGCTGCTGCATTGATATCAAAGCAGTTTCCAGCCAGGGAATATGAGAAGGTAGATCTAGCCTAATTAGTATAGATACTGCACACCACACAGATGATCCATGTTCAAATCCAGGTCAAGAAAGATAAATTATAGTACAGATCCTCATAGAATCACACACCACCTAAATTGGTGTCCTCCATTACCTGTAAGAACTAACCCAACAGCATACCAGGACTAAGTACTGTATATGAGACTTGAAGAGGTGCAAGACATGCAAACAAAGCAAGAATCATTTTTGCATTTTACCAGCAATTGGAAAATTAATTTCTGCATTTTGCTGAAGAAAAAATTGCTCTGGCAAATTTTTATTGCATTCAGGATAAATCCAGGGTTACAGCACTCCTATGCAAGATATAAAAGAGTCACAACAGGGTTAAAAAGGTGCACATCTGGGATACTTTGGGTTACACTTGTGAAGCCACTTTTAGGTTACTCAGGGTTACACTTGCAATCAAAGAAGTCACAAGAAGTTTACAGTTGGATGCACTTGTGTGACCCTCCAGTTATGCCACACTTGTGCACCTAGTGTAGCCATGGAATGGTAGCAAAATTTCCTTTACACGAGGTGCACACTTGTAATCCCAGAATATCCCATATGCACCAGTTGTGACCCTGGTGTGCACCTACTGTGGGGTCACAGCAAAAATAGCTCCCTACTTGGGCAGTAGCATGCAGAAGTTAGCTTCCATTTTATTATTGTGGTTCTATGCAGTAAGCATGGATATATAACATGTACACTATAAATTTTCTCAATGGTACATATGGTATTTGAGATTTCTAATTTTTGTGGTTATCAAATACATTTTCATACGTAGGACTGCATTAAACTAAGATAATTGTATAATGACAATATAAGAGGGTTTAAATTTCCAGGTCAGTTTTAAACACTAAGAGCATTATTTTGAAAAACAACCTTGTAATCACTCTCCTATACTGTGTTGTTCATACAACCCTGCATGGAAATGCGGTGGTTATACAGTAGAATGCATGAAATTTATAGTTATAAAATTGCTATTACACAGAAATCATCTTCATCATTTAATTTCTGGTTTTCAGCCCAGACAGGAAATAGCTTTTATATTTTTGTAAGAACCCAGCATTGAGCAGTATTGACTCCAGCAGACAGATCATGGCAGGGCTTCCCCAACTATCATACTGAATATACAGGGCTGGGCCAAAAAAAGTGAACCAATTTTTGACTTCAAATAGCTTGGTAGCAAATTGAGCAGTGGCAATGAAATGAGACAAAAATAAAGCTTGTTCAATTCTCTTTCAAATGGTATGTATTAGTTTCATGATCCCAAGTTCCACTGAATGGTCACAAGAATCATTTGAATGAAAACTTTTCCCAAAAAAATTTGTCAGGTGTCTTTTTCTGTTAAGCTGCTGTTCTGGAGAGGTGTTTGCATGAATGAGGGAAATGCAGAATGCAATGATTCAACCTGCAAACCTCATGCTGTCTTGGAGAGCCTGTACATGTTCCTAAAATTCAGGAGGAGGGGGTGAGAAGGGGGAAGGAAATTGGCAAGATAGGATGCTGCAGGGCTCCTGTGGTGCTGGGTGCTAGTCTTGCAGCTCCTGATGGTGACGTACTGCATGCACAATTTTTTCTGGATGACTTGATTGCTCAAAATCAGTTCAATTCAAAATGATTTTCTGTTGAAATATATTCAGCAATCCAGCCATCCAGAAAAATAATGTTCATGCAGTGGGTCACCAGAGCAATGAGGCCAGCACCCACCAACATGTGTCACCAAAGGTGCCCATGCATGAAATCATGCCAATTTTCTTTCCCCTTCTCACACCCTCCTCTTGGATTTTAGGATCATGTAGAGGCTCTCCAAGACAGCATAAGGTTTGAAGGTTAAATTATTGCATTCTGCATTTCTTTCATTCATGCAAACAGCTCTCCAGAAAAGCAGCCTAGCAGAAAAAGTCACCTTACAACTTTTTGTTGTAGTTAGCTTTCATTCAAATGGTTCTTATGACCATTCTGTGGAACTTGCAACCATACAAGTGCATACCATTTGAAAGTGAATTAAACAAGCTCCCATTTGGAGCTTTTTTCATTGCCACAGCTCAATTTGCTACCAAACTATTTCAAGTCAAAAATTGGTTCACTTTTTTGCCCACCCTGTACAGTATATGTTAACCACACACACCCATGTTCCCCATATTGCAGAACTATGGCTAGAAAAAAACATCTCTTTCAGTTTTAAAAGTTTCATCTTGGTTTCAACAGAAGTGTCAAACACCTTTGCAAAAGAAGCTCAATATTCGCCAGTAATTTCCATTAACAACATTATTGTACCATAAACCAAGACTTCTCTTGGTAACATAATGAAGAATTTTGCATTGTAACCAGTCCATGATTCCCGATGAAGAGCATGTAGAAGGAGAGGCAAAAGCTTTCAATTCGAAGTGGTAGAAATCGACAATTTTTTTTTGCCATCACAACGAATTCACAAGTGCTCACAGTTCACTAATCAATGGTGACACCGAATATCGAAACGTACGTTACTGGAAGTGGTCCTATGCACTGTAACAGCAATGCCTGGATCTTGGTGTTATCGATTTCATAATGAAAGAATGCAAAAAGTTTAAAAGCAGACAACATACTTCATTTCATTTCTTCATCCCTGTCAGGGAGCGGAAATCAAGATACAAAACCACTAACGCCCACAATCGGATATGGAAAGAAAACCCAGTATGGCAGACTCAAGTGAATGCTGAGCCAAACATGCATTGAAAGGCAACAGGTGAAGTCAGCAGCCACTGATCTAGACTGGACTAACGTTAGAAGGCATACTTCGGAAATTTTCTGAATGGAAATAGTGCAGAGGCCTCAACACGTCAATTATCCGGGACCTCAGTAATACCGCAAGTCACCCAGAACTACGCACAATGCAAATGAAACATTTGCTCAGGGAAACTAGCCTGTTCAATATACAATTGCGCAAAGAGCGAATAGCAACTTCAGTAAATCAAATGAAAACATGGAAAATGTACTATCGCTCGCCAGCTCTGCAGTCCTCAAGTCAGCAGGTGCACTCAGACCTTCTGAAGAGAACGCTAATTCATTAATTTCTCATCATAATGTACAGGTATCACAGCGGTGAATTGATTTCTCTCGAAAATGTTCCACCAGTAGCAGACTGATTGACTGAATCCGTGTCACTCAACACTCCAATTATACTAGGCAGTGCCTCCTCCTTAGCTGAATAACAAAGTCCCTAAGCTAAGGCCACTGAGCTAGAGACAACCAGCAGGACAGATCCACTATCCTTGGAGGAACACTAGTGCAGGAGGGAGGATTTCGGGCTGGGATGGCCCAAGAATCAATTCATTTCTATTCCAACTGGCGCTGGTCAGCCTATCTCGATTTCAGCACACACTCACAGTTCCGCCTCAGAACAAGAAAACAAATCTAACCAGAACACTTGCATGAATATTTCAATCTGATGCAAGGAAAGGAGTTTGATTCAGGGGAGCACGGGAGTTCCAATCAAAGCAAACAACTTTACTGACCGGCGATGTCCTGTCAAAGAGAAACAGTTGACAAAAGAAATAAGTCTGGCATTTGGCTACATTTCCTGGGCTCTGAACTATCTGAGCTGTTGGTTAACAGTCTCCTCTCTTCATATCAATCAATTTCCACGCACACACTCCTGCCGCCATTCACGTATTGTCAAAAATCACAACAAAAAAATCGTCACGGACCGATGTGTGACATGTTAATCATGGGCCCCACCTTCTATGTCATATTGCGTAACTGATACGAAACAGAACAAGTTACTGCCAAAAGCAACTCGCGAACCACTCCCAAAACGCATCAACCACCCGTGCTCAGCAAAAAGGCGCAAGATCCTCGGCGTTCAGCGTGAAATGAAACGAACTACGGGGAAGAGATATAGAGGAGAGACAGAGAGAAGATACCCGCATACTACGGGAAATATCGAAGCGATTATTCGGGGGCTCCTCTAGTTCAGCAATTACTCGCTACTTCAGGAGCCAAGTTATCGCTTCCGCCCGCGCTGGGGTCTAACTACGCTTCCTATCCCCCCCCCCCCATCAGACAGTAAAAAGTGCTGCGGAAATGGTGCACGAAGAGAACAGGCGACGGCAAGGTAGTTCAGGTAGCGGCTGCAGCGGTAGCTGGTGCCGTCCCGGCAACGTTTGTCGGTAATGATGGGACCCCCGCGCTTGGTGCGTCAGGTCCAGTCGGCACTTTAGAGTTCTGTGGCGATGCTCCGTTCCCCGGTAATTCCGTATCCTTGCCAGCCAGCACGCTTGGAGAAGATCCACCACTTCCGCTGCCCTCGGGTTTACCGCCAACGGAGGTAGTTCTCTGATTACGCACGTGCGGTGGGATCAACACTGCATTCAGTGATGGGTCGATCCGTAACTCTGTAGATTAGCGAAAGAAAAACCATTGCACGAAGTTTCAATCTCCACCAAGCGTCGTCGGATCTTCGTTCACAAAGGACGAACTTCGTTGAATATGTATGAAAATTACGGTATACAGTATTCCACGTGGCAGCTGGCACGCACGCGAAGATGTACCGTACAAAAAAAAAACAACCTCTCACACTGGTTGGAATAATGACTTAGGGGCTCCAACGGGAAGTCAAATCCTTACTTTTTACGACTCGCGGCTTTCCTTACGGCAAAAACTCCGTCCGGTCATTTTATCGTGAAAAATTTAAATTTGTCAGTCAACTGATTAGAAATAACGATGAAAATGATCACCAACCTTCTCAACCTATTCCACTTTTACAACATTTTAAATCTGATCATATCTGCCGTTTTAAAATCTGTTAATTTTAAGAGATGAACATTTGCTAATTTTACCCACAACAATGAAACTCGAGACACGGCGCAGATGATTTCAGCCAATATTGCGCAAGTATGCTTCAACGTTAGTGCAAAAATCTTCAGTTTTAATGCCGGTTCAGCGTGGTACCCATAAAAACTATAAAATATTATCCAAGGATATTCCTAAATAACACTGAATTAAAAATCCTTCCATCAGATCTGCAGGCACAAATGATTTTTTGTAAAACCATTTACAATCCATTTTGTAAAAATTGAATTAATAATGTCGTTCGGTTCGTGACAGGGACACTAATGAGAAACCTTGACCTCACACCTCACCAATCCATGATGTTTTTGCACGAGTTACAGGTACATACAGTATGTATTTTATTGCACCGAACACTAGTTCGTTGCTGTAACATTTCTTCGGGATATATGCTGAACAATGCATCACTGCGCTGTGAACTATTTTGAACATTCACTTAAGCAAGAAGACATTTCAACGAAAAAAATCTTTAATGTTCATGAACAGTTTGCGCAGAATCAGCGGACCCGGCCACGTCACACTTCATATGATCACAACCTTACTTTCACCTCGCTTGAACAGGGAATCTTGGACGACGCTGTTGAAGGTCAAGCAGCCCAAGAATGTCAACAACTATTAATTAGAATATTTCGTGACATTTCTTTACAAAATCATCCACTGAGAGAGAAAACTACTTCGCTTTTGATGCACCCTAGGCTCAGAAGAAACACCTTTGAGTCATCCCCTTGGATGCTCCAGTCAAGAGCTTACTAGAGTCCTCTGTGACTAAGCTTGATCCAGTCGGCAACGTTTTTTTCTCATTTTCACAGGCTGGTCCAGACATCATTCACTTGAGTCTAAAGCACGAATCTTTCGAATATTTTCCTTACCCCCGTCTCCAAGTTTCTGCTCACGAAGTCTTCATATTCATGATTTTTGGTCGTGTCCTACTTCATCGTACACATCCTACGTTCAATCCTAGCATCCGATATGTTTTACGGCACATCAAGGCAGAAGGTGCGTGATCCATGCATAAGATGGAAAAATACTTGTATCCGATTTCAACGAAGGAATTCATAAATAACTAGCGAACAGCTTTGAGCCCTCGTACGTCAGGATAAAATGTCAATAGCGACCGAGTTCGGTAGATGCTGTGCAGACAATTTCCGTCACATGACAAAAAATTAACTGGAAATCTTCGTTCTGATCATTTTTCTTCGAATTCCTTCCTATGGTTTCTTCAATAAGGTTAACGTTACGACAGCAGTTCAGTTCTTAAAGAAGCCATACTTTTTTAAAACTTACTTTGAAATGCATTACTTGTTCAGTGGAGATTTTTGATAGCTGACGACAATCCTTTCCGTCCATTTCTATATCATGCTGGTCAAAATTACACGCGATTCAGAGAAGTTCCTCAGGAAGTTCAACACTCTTTCACTCGGAATGCCCTTCGACACATAACACGGCGACATATGAGTCTCACTCGGGAACACAATCAAGCCCACTCATTCTGTGACTTGAAAATCGGAGCTCTCCTCATTCGAATAACCCAACTGTGAGAACAAGGCAATACTCGCAAATTATTTTGACGATGTCTCTAATGATTTCATCAGTTGAATTTTCAATTTTGATACTCAACATTCGTACCTTCTGTTTCTTTTCGTCCACGTATAACGTCAATAATCACAAGCGGAACTTTGGAGAAGTAAGCTATGACCCAAGTTCAACAATCAGAGCTGAGAACTTTGTATTATGGTTTCGTATTCAGCATAAAAACGACCGGGGAAGAGTTATCCTTGAGTATCGAGTAGCCCTATAACCCGAAAATTTTTGTGTGATATAATCTTTCATTCAATATTTCCGGTTAAGCTCAAAGGTTTAAGGAATACAAGTAGTTTACCTTAGAAAAGCAATCTCTACCTTTTCATAATTTCTTGGGAAATGTTTCACAGTTTTGAAGAACGGAAGGATCACGAAGAATTATGATCAAGAGAAGGATCGGTGCCACTTTCGTTGGCGACAACTCATTACTGTTCATTGAGCTGCATTAAGCGACCGACCAACGAAGTTCAGTACCGTACGGTACTTCGAACCCACTTCTTTCATTCAGATTTTTACAGTAATTTTTTTTGTGCGGTTGAAAAATTTTCGAACTGTTGTTTTCAACAAGAATTTCTGAATACTTTATAAATTAAAATTGGAAACATTCAGTGATGGAGAGCTCGCAATTATTCAAGTATGCACGTTCTCCATGAATCAACTCATCAGAACTTCTAGCAAGCAGGAGAATGTAATTCACACTCAAACTTCGAAAAAATAACATTTACCAGTTCAAAAAGTGAAGGAGAAATCTCGTCCGGAAAATGTTTGAATGATTTTCGAAAGCGCTTGGCATCGTAATCGAGTGAAATCACAGCAACCATGATTCAAGTGAAAAAATGTTTTTAAGCGTCTTCAAATTTATTTTCCACATTGGCTGATGGATGCTTTGCAATTAATCTCCCGTTATTCACGGCATTGGGTGCGACGAACTTAGCGACATACTAAAAAAATACTGATGAACAGAAACGAGGAACCAAAAAACGAGGCTAATTCCTCCGATTTCCAGGGTCGACCCCCTAATGCTAATGAATAAAAGACTCGTCGACCGCAGACTGCAGCGGAGTTATCGCGGCCAGTCGCGAATTGAAGTGTTTTAAGAACGGAATTCGCAACTTGTCGATCAAGTTCAGAGTAATTTCCGCCCATAAAAATGCATCAGAGCTAGCTAACACGATTACACTTCCCTTCGAAGTTGACCAAATAAAATGCAAGGATAATTGACGAATCACGCAATTGGCGTAAAATCAATTAACAAAGAATGGATAAATGGAAAAAAAAATTGCATCACGCAGAATTACGGCTCTATAGGAGTTCCTGGAAACGCAGAAACTCGCATGATCATATACAAACATTACCATGCTCTGTGAAGTTGAACAACGGCGGCAAATCACGTCCATTTGGCAACCGAGTGTTCGGCTCACGCAGCTCCTCGAAGAACTGATGAGCGCAAGCTTTCAACGGCGATAATCTCGACGACGGCGTGTATTCTAGCAACTTGGAAACCAGCTCGATTGCCTCTGGAGGAGTTCTTGCACGGAACACCTTTATACAGTAATACAAAATCAAGGACACCGAACGGCAGCGATGAATCCACACCATGCACATCGCAGGTTAGTAGCGGGAAAATCGAGGAACCCGCCCTGGAGCCGGATTTAATGACACTCAAACTATCAAGTCAGAAAATAAGATGCAGTAACTGATGGAAGAAGCCGAGTAATCTGCAAGGTTGGAAGAGGGACAGTGTTCCTAAAGTAATTGTGTACCGAAGATTTTCTGCATCTCTCGGTTAAATGGCAAGGATGTCAGTCAAATGAAAAAAGGCACATGAACTGGAACAACCCAAATCAGCTGGAATCAAATAACTCGCATTCCTTCATATCATCATGGAAGTTACGATCAAAACGAGTTAGATTCTTCCCACGGAAACTCCAGTTCACGTGAGCTTACTATAAGTCACGTTTCCATCGATGCTTTGCCACACATGCCGAACATGACGATAAAACTTACTCTTTTAAGCAACAAAACGGACATATTTTTAAGACTTCTTGTTTTAGTCGTTGCCAACATATGCTGCAAGAAGAAAGTACCAGACAAGAATATGAGCAGTTCCATTCCTCGCCCCAGGGCCGCGTTCCTCGCCTCAGAAAACAATTGTGCTCACCTTTTGCCATGGATGGGCTTTGATCTGGGGAAACTTGAACTCCGAATAATGTCGGTTCATCTCGTAAATCTGCTCGCGAGTCGGGGTGCCCAGAACTTTTATGATTTCCACCAACTGGTCAACGCCGGAATCACCCGGGAAAATCGGCTGACCGAGCAGAAGCTCGGCAAGAACACAGCCCGCGCTCCATACGTCTGTAGGACAAGCGTACGATAATCAATGAATTGAAAACATGAATCCGAATATGAAGTACAAACCAATTTGAGTCGTGTAGTCAGTAGCACCAAAAATCAATTCAGGAGCACGGTAGTACCGCGAGCAAATATAAGAAACGTTCGGCTCGCCAGCTATCAGGTGCTTAGCCGATCCGAAATCACACAGTTTCAATACTCCCGTATCCGGATCCAGTAATAAGTTCTGAGGCTTTATATCTCGGTGGCATATGCCCAGCGAGTGAATGTAGGCCAAACTTCGGAAAAGCTGGTACATGTACAGCTGGAAAACCCGAACATCAGCGCAGGGTGCTTACTCAAAATTTATATTGAACTCACTTTGATGAAACTGATGGCGATTGTCTGCTTATTCTTACTATGATGCCGGGCCACTCGATACACAGTCTCGGGAATGTATTCCAGGACAAGATTCAAGAACACTTCATCCTTCTGAAAATCGAAGTCATACTGCGGAATTCCTCGAACTACGTCGACAGAAAATAGATAGCTACCTTGTCCCCGCTGGAGTAAAAGTAATACTTCAATTTTACTATGTTCTGGTGCTCCAACCTCAGCATTATCTGCAGTTCACGATTCTGTCGGAGAGGAACGTTTCATTTCTCAGGTAGGGAGAAAATATATAAAACGCAATTACGCGTTTTTAACGTATCTCAATTTAGTCAAAAACAATACCACTCAACTGAAAAGGTTTCTTAAGCGTAATTTAACGATGAGACGTGCAATACTGACCTTGAAACGTTTGTCTTGGAGAACCTTTTTGATAGCAACCAGTTCTCCAGATTCGCAAAGTTTAGCTTGGTACACAACACCAAACGATCCATTTCCTATCACTTTAGTATCCGTGTACGAAACATCTTGCGGTCGATCGCAACTACCTTGACCAGGGGTTGCGACCACAGTCGTAACTCGACTTCCATCCCGACCTTAATGAGCAAAACAACATCAGCGCGAAGAACAACCGACACACGACTCTTCAACGAACCGCTGGAGATCCGCACGCCCGAAACGGACGCACCAGAGGAGTTCGACAACTGCTGTCGACTTCCACTCATACCGCTCATTCCTATCCCGCTTTCAGCAAACGACGTCGTTCTTGCTCGTCCACTGCCACTCATTTCTCATCTAAGAATGCCACAACCCAGATTAAGATGTATTACATGAGAAAGCATCGACTCTTACCAGCCAAAACAATTAAGCCAGCACATCTGCCGGTGTTAGCTGCAATTTATCAGCCTACTCGTACAATCACATGTTCGATCGCTCAGGTATTACCCAGTAAATATTATCACCTAGCCAATTTCAGATGCCAATACAAAAAGTGAAACCTGGAAATTCTGTACGAAAACCGAGAAGAGCTATGAATACAGATGCCAGAACATCTCGATCGAGAACAGAAATCGTCAACATCGGACGCAACTATGGTTTAATTCAGTACACGCGCTATAAACACGTTTAACTCCCGAACAGAGGAAAAACCGGTGAGCTACACAGACACAATAGGAACTTCGATTGGTACAGGGGCCAAAAGGCGAAATAAGAATGGGATAATTTTGATTCAGTTATTCACTGCAACACCACGCGGAATAGTACTGATGAATGGATAAATCGCGCAGTATCTACAATTGTGCTGGATCAGGCAGCGTTTCGAAGACTCGCGAAGGATCAACTATGCGAACGAAGAAAACACATTTCAGAGACCAGCGAAATCTTGAAGTTGAAATAGCCATAAAACTTAGAAAAATCCAATTATCAATCAAAATGGCTAGCGTCGGTATGGTCCAGTGAATGAGAACATTCACTCCAGAATGATTTCATCACAGGAAGTCGCACGACTTCTGCGTAACTCAAGAATACGAGAGCCCAGAAACTTGACCTTTCGCTATTACGAACCGGAATTGATCGTATGAAACGAAGCAGTTCGGCTGTGATACCACAGAATTATTCGAATCCGTAAGTTTCGACCATCAAAATGATTCCGAGAGAAAAATTCCTATTCCAGAGACACCACGCTAACAACTTTACTTCGTGTGCACCACGGGACTGCGGCAGTTTAACTTCGGTCGAACCAGCAAGCGTTCGGCCATGATAGTACGAGATCGATTGACGTCACGAAACAGGGTTGTCGGTTCAAGAGGCTTAAGTTAACTCAAGTTTGTTCTGCGTTAGACTTTATTAAGACGAAATTATTTTTAACTAGGCGTGATGTTGTCCAAGAGGCATTCAATAAGTTGGAGAGCATAACTCGTTTCTAACTGGCTAATTCCATCTCAACATATTATTATTGAAGACATGGTTTCAGTTATAGGTGTCGCTGCAGCATTATGTCACCCACAGTAAATCTCCGCGCGATTTGAACGTGCTGTCGTTACCTGGGATCCCACGCCCACTCAATTTCGAAACGCGTCAATCAACAGTTCTGGAGAACGAGCTTGTACGCGGTAGTGTCATGCAATCACACTCTTTATTGAGAACATATAGTAAGCTATCTTAGTGAACATCATACAAGTACTGTATATTGAAGGATTGGACGCATTGAAATGGTAAAATAGATGAATCTGTTGCTCATAAACAACAAGTGTATCCAGAGGGAAGTACACCGCAGCTTTGATTAGCCAGGATTTGAAAATGTCGTTCCGAGCTTGGGAAAATCGTGCTGTTTCTTCACTTGCTATTGTTTAAACGCGCTTTCCAATTACGAACATGAACTTCAGCATGCTCCAGTACATTAGCGTTCTATAGCGACATATTCGGTACATCAAATTCATTTAGTTCGGCGGGAAAACTCCTCAAGGTTCAAAATTAATCTTGCACTTTTCACGTTCAAGCACCCTATGGGTTCAGTCAGCAAACCCCACTCCGTTCCTCAGAAGCAAGTATTGCGGAGCACGGGTTCCTGCAACACAGGAGTCATCTAAACTAAAGTGTGTAGCACAGCTTATTGATCGCACCTCAATATATACCTATCCATGCGTAGATTCAGGCTACATAATGTGACAGGCAGAAATTGGTGTCGGCACCGTGATGAGCTTAAAATCATGCATGCATACATCGCAGTGGATGTAAACACAATCTCATTTCATGAATATCGACATTTCTGCTCTTCGCACGAAAATACGCTCATGCAAAACTGACATTTATCATTAAAAACATGAAGCGCATGGATCAGCACCATTAACGCTTTTCTTCGCATCGGATTTGCACAAATCTCGCGGCAAGCTGATGAGTATATCCGCACGAAATTAACCACAAATCAGGTTACGCATCGCAGTGGATGTGAACACAATCTCAATTCATGAATATCGACATTTCTGCTCTTCGCACGAAAATATGCGCATGCAAAACTGACATTTATCATTAAAAACATGAAGCGCATGGATCAGCACCATTAACGCTTTTCTTTGCATCGGATTTGCACAAATCTCATGGCAAGCTGATGAGTATATCCGCACGAAAATAACCACAAATCAGGTCAAAAGTTCAATGCCGCACAATCCCCGCAGAAAAACGAAACAGATTGCTTTGCTAAACAGGATTTAATCTGCAGCCCAGATATTCACGGGATCCTCAATCTGAGCCTTTCAGAAGTTCTCAACAATCACATTGAGTACATCACTAAACCAAGGCAACATAACACAAATGATGAGTCAAAAAAAAAGCATGACCCCATCAGTCAGCTGTCGTTCCCTTTCATTCTTTCCGAAATTTTTTGGATCTGTTCCTCTCGCGACGTCCCTTCTACATCCTTTCGTATTTCGTCCAACGTAGCAGCTATCCGCTTGTCGCGTTCGTCCAAATGTTTTTGATGAACATTTCGGAAAGACCTTCGAAATAGAAAAAAAAGGATGATTCCTCACAATCAATCTTGGAATTTGGGTCGGGAATCATTGAAAAAATCTTCACGTAATGGGGATGGTACATGATGACATTCGTCAGTCTTTCGCTTCCCCTCTCAGCATTATAATGCTGGGAGGGAAAGTGAAAGAGATCGAGAAGATCCATGCCATTTTCTCTCAAAATAGTATTCATAATATTATAGCAGAGCATACATGATACAGTACATTGAACTCGCTCCGAAGTCCAAACCCCCTTATGTGTAAACGCAATGCTAAAAATCTGCACTTCAACATTTTGAAAGACCGATGAAAACCTCCTTTTGAGGAGTTTTTCAGCAGACTTCATGCAGGGAAGCGAATTTGAGATATGAAAACTTTTTCTCAGTTTGAAAAAGTTTGGATAACGGGTTTTTTAAATTGAATTTAACGGTTGCTCAAAATGTTTTCGAAAGGGTTTACTACATTGAATTGAAAAGGGGTAAATTAGATACCTCAATTAATAAATTAGGCATACTCAAAAGGGGTAAATTAAGGGGTTTGATAGGAATAGAAGAAAAACACTGAAGCTTCTAAAATTGTTTGCCATCTTGAAACGAATCAAATGTTACCCCATAGAAGTTCACGGGAAATCATGATTAGCAAGAATAAATCGTACAACGAACGTAGCTCTAGCACGACTTACGTTCGTTGTACGAGGTATCACTGATAAATTCCGCTCATCACAGAAATCCCGGTTGAAATGGAGAGAAAAGCGCTTGGAATGAACAGTGAGCTATCTCTACGGAACTGCATATAGTTTACCATCATAGAAGCATCTTCCATTGATAAGCACGAGGTCACGTTATCCACAAGAAAAAAGAGGATTTTATTAATCCAAACCGACGTCATCGGGACTATGCTTCGGACATTAACCTGATGGTGATGCAGGGAACTTTTCCAGAACCATGATAGGTTTTCGAAAGATTTTTCAACGTCGCGGAAGAAGAAACATACTTTATTCCGAACATTTACAATGCTGGTTGACAACTCCGAGAAATTGAGGTCAAGTGTTTCCCTATGTGAATTGCATTGATTGCTTATTCACACATAAATTCAGCCCATATGCCATTAGAGAAGCAGAACGAAGTTACGATTATTCGATCTTTGGTTCATCCTGGTTCGGATAATCAGATCTACATTTGCTTCATATTTATATTCACTTCACCGCACAAATTACAAACCACTTTTGATATTGAAAATACGTATAAAGGTACAGTAATAGCGTTGCACTAGCACATCCAGTGCTGTAGTGAATGACAAATGCCTTCAAATGTCAAAAGCTTGTGAGCAATAAGTTCTCCAGTGAGGGCTGTCATTGAAAAATGGGTTGAGGATCTTTGATTCAGGTGGTCGGATATCCGAAAAAATTCCGAACAGGACTTGATTTTTAGTCTAGCACAGGAAGTAATCGTTCAATTTACAGGTTTGCAAATGCAATTTGAGTCAGCGTAGAGGATAATGAAGAAGACTGACAAGATAATGCAATACAGTATAGCTCGTTTACGAATCGAGAATGCCCTGTTCCAGTGAATGACAGAACTGGTCAACATTTTCCTTCCCGTGCTATAGGCAGATACATTCCCACGATAAGTTTTGAACCGAACTGAAAGTAAATCGCATCAGCACGAAGAAGGGCAATCCTGAAGAAAATTTGGAAAATCAACGAGTCGTGCACTGTTCGAATTCCGCGAAGCACAATAATTAATTCAGGATTCCGAATGATACTGATGGACCTGGTACAGCGGCAGATTTGCGAGTATGAATTACCCGAATGAAGAACAAATGATATCCACAACAAAATGCGGATATAGCAAAGCAGATTATTCCTTGGTTATGAAACTAAAATTCTATCTTGTCAGATTGCATAACACACCTCATAGCAGCCAGATGGACAAGTGCTCCAGCGATCATAAATCCGATTGCGAGCATTACGATTTTTCGGTGTGGCACCTTCTCCTGAGGAAACCACGATGTGTTACCGTAATAACCACGGCGTTCGTTTTTGAAACCTGCACTTCGACTTCGCGGGCTGTAGATGGATGGATCTTTCCAGTACCTGGCATAGAGATACAGGTTAAACCCTAGTTATAAAAATTAAATTTAAACTCACTGCTCATGGGGCATTCCGGAGTCCGTCCAACTTGATTGGGAAGAACTGAGCGAGGAATCATAAAGGTTCCTCGTTGAGGTCTTGCTCAAGACGCCATAAGCTTCTTGTATTCGCACGAACTTCTTGTGCAAATTCGGGTCTCTTATGTTTACATCGGGATGCAGCTATAAAATGTAAGCTTTTTCGAACAGCCACTGTAAAAAAATCTCAAGCTGTCGACTAACCTTCTTTGAGAGCTTAAGGTAAGCCTCCTTGATTTCAATGTTGCTCGCATCTCTCGCTAAACCCAGCACTTCATAGTGATTCTTCGTCATAATTTACTGTTTCGGGTACATCCTATCATAAAAAGGAAGTACGGTAACGTCAAAATGGACTAATTCGAATTTACACAGAACAACTGCGGACTTCAGTTCGAGGAAAAAATTTATTCCATCACACCCACGATCAGGCGACTATAGTCCACAACCAAAAAACAACGCGAAACTTTCATCAAATTGCTGATGGGCACCTGTTTGATTACGCGAGAAATAGTCGGAATGCAACTAAAAAATTCACAGAATGAAACAAGAATAAACAACCACCGCAAAAGCATATGGAAGCCTATGTTCAATCATGTTCTCTACTGTATTTGCTGAACGGAACACAGTCATTGCACTCAATTGATTTTTTCCCGCTTTGCGGATAATCGAAAGCTCGAAATTTCGTAAAAAGATGAACCCTGTTCGACGAAAGCGCTCATGCAGTAAATTTCTCAAAAAAGATAGAGAAGTATCCGAATAAAATTCCATTAAGCGAGTAAATCGAGTTGATCAATTGAAAAACTCATTCCAAAGTGATGATGAGATCACCACCTTGCAGTTTATCGTCCTTCACAACATGAACCTCCTTCACAGTTCCGGCGTCGGGCGCCTGGACAACCATTTCCATTTTCATAGCGCTAAGGACAACAATCTTGTCTCCTTTTGATACCTTGTCGCCCGGCTTCACGCGGACGTCAAGGACTGTGCCTGGCATTGGAGCACCGACTTGACTCCTGTCACCCTTTTTCGCCTTCGGTCTGATCGTCAGCTCCTGTGCGAATATTCCGTGTTATCGTCAAATCTAACTCTGATTTTACAAGCAAACCAGGCACGTTTCAATTTAAATATGCTTAGAATATCACAGTGAAAATATCCGAAACAGCAAAAAATTGATACTGCAGCAAAATTTACGAATTTAATTGACTGCGTAATTATTACAACACATAAATTCTTCGGGAATGTTGCAAATATTCATCAATAAATGAGCCCTCGGTAAGAAGAAATCCTTGCCCCGCTATACGATGCTCAGAATTCATGGTATTACACGTTTCAACTTTCCGCTAAAATTTCTGAAACGTGACTTGCATAGCACAAACTGATGGGCAACATCAACGATAAAAATCAAAATATCTTAACTGCAGTAACTTTTCCCGTTAACTATGGAGAAAAATCTGGTTACTTTCAAGACGTAGGTTATATGGCGAATAACAAACGAAAGCGGGGTCGGTTCCACAAGTTGAATTCGAAGCGATTTCATGGCAAGAATATATGTTCACCTTTTCAGCACTCTTGTCAGGAATCAAAACGGACCGCAATTGTCCATTTAGCTCGAAGAACACTTCTCGCTCGCCCTTCTTTGTCATGTCGTCCGCAACGGCAAGGGTTTTGAAAGCAAGGGTTTTCCCACGCTCGATACAAGCCTAAAATTCTCCAAAAAGTCAACTAGGAACCTCGGAAAGAGAATATTTTCACTTACCTCGAACTCCTCGCCAACTTTGGGGCCGACCAAGAAAATTCGCGTGTCAAGTCGATCAACGGGACCGTAGGAATCCCTGAATTCCATGTACTCTTCAGCCACTTTCGGATACAATGCTGCACTCATGACGTCTTTTTCATCCACTTTGTTGAACCTCTCTTTGAGCTCGCCTTCCAGTTTCGAGAAATCGAACGTTGTCATGGATTCTCCAGGTCTTCCCTCAATTCTGGGCATATTTTTTAGGATCTGTGGGAAAGAATGAAAAGCATTCAAGAATTGAGCACATAAACGGATCGGGGAGCATATCTGCTCACACTTACCTTGCTACGAAGTGGTTCAGGAAACCCCCCATGTGGAATTCCCACGTATCCCTGCATGAACTCCACGACGGACTTCGGGAAGGAAAGATCTTCGGCCTTTTGCAAGACTTGATCAGCGCTGAGTTTATTTTGGACCATGAACTGAGCAAGATCTCCGACGACTTTGGAGGACGGAGTCACCTATGACCATAAAACAAAAAATCTGAATACTCGGAAAATACGGTACTTTCTTATCATCTGAAACCTTGATAACATCTCCCAGTAGCAAGTTGGCTTCCCTGTAAGCATGTTTGATTTCTTCGAATTGGTCCCCGAGACCAAGAGAGAAGGCTTGGAATTGTAAGTTGGTGTACTGTCCTCCGGGGATTTCATTCATGTACACGTCTGCATTTCCAGATTTCATCGTGGTGGTGCATTCGAAAGGTGCGTACAGGGTTCTCGTTTGCTCCCAGAAAGCAGAATATTCACTAACGTCGGCAAGTCTGAAGCCTAAAATAGAGTTAAAAAATAACACTCAAAGTTACATTGATAGTTCGACACAGTACCTGCATACCGCAACGGAATTTCCAATATTTGACAGGAATGTAACAAAGAAACGGAAAATATAGAAGGACTGATAATTGTGACTGATCGAAATTCGGATGTCATGCATATGCATGAAAAATAAATATACGACTCGGAGTTTAAGTAAAATTTGTACAAATTTTGGACAAAACATTCTACTCGAAGTGCCTAATGCCAATTGATGAATTCGTGTCCAAAAGACCGCACAATGTCTCAGGATATGGACAATTCTCCGAAATTCCCATAACCACGAAATACAGTGTATAATTTTCAAATTCTAACACATCGTGAACAAATTGAGCAACTCCACAAACATGAACTGAAGTTGAATCGCATTACAGTATGAATTCATTGAACTTCAACTCATTTTCAAGAACAGGCCATTTCATGCTTCTGATGGGGGGGTTTTTCCCCATGGAAGGTAAGTCTTCCAGAAACACGTGTGCTTGTTTTCTGTTGCCTTCCGGACTTCTTCTTAGGCAAAGAGGGCTGGTTTCGCGTATTTTTCTTTGGCACGGTTAATTTCTGTGCTTTAAAGTCAAGAGAAACATTTTTATCGATATTTTGGAGGACACACCGCAAATAGGTGGCATTTTTATCGATATTTTGGAGGATTTTTTTTCGAATACAAGATACTGGAAAATGAAAAATGTTCGCATTTAAGTGTAAATGTGGTCTGTCACGCGGAAGTTCCGACACATGAACACAGCTCGAGAAGTAATCATGTCCGCATTGCGGGTCCTCACTATAATAATCATACCAACAAAAATTATACATGTACTGTACTTGCATTACCCGTATCTCGTGGAGTACGCTGAAGACATGCGACTAGCGCTCCCATCGAAGGCTGTGATGTCATGCCACTCATGGAGTCAACAGCGACGTCAACGATATCCGCGCCGGCATCAGCACACCGCAAATAGGTGGCAATGCCTGCGCCAGCCGTATCGTGCGTGTGAATATGAATGGGCATGTCAGGATGCCGGTCGCGCAGGGCTTTGATCAAAATTGTCGCTGCCTCTGGTTTCAATAATCCTATTAGGGACCGAAATTTCATTTCATTTAGCAGAACAGCAGCTCGACACGAGGCGATGAATGACTCTCATTCAAATACTGTATAACCCATTAGCGACTGCCATTAATCAAATAATGTACTGTACAGTACTTAAAATGATGCATATGAGCCAACGATCTCAATAAAACTGAACCTTGTAAAAGAATGACTTCCCGAATCTACATCCTTCGATCGTGTACAGCATTTCTGAAATATGGACACATGTACAGTAATAAAAAAAATGCATAATGGAGATAACACGGTTTTCTGAACATATGCTAGACGAACTTTTTCCAATCATAAAAAGACAGAAATTGTAAATCCAGAAATAAAATGAAAACTCAAAAGGACCTCACGGTACATTTTAAACCCAGTGAATGTTAAAAATACTTGTGGGCACTTCTTTTTCATGCTATACATGTGCACTGCTTGGCTTAAATTTCTCAAGAAATTTCAATTGTACCCAGCATCGATTTCGATGGAGAAAAACTTCTTCATGATTATGCCACATACTACAGACAAGAAGCACGTTTAGTTCCATTATACACTATCTTGAAAAGAATATCTGTCCAGGCACCCACCGGCCATATCTTTAATGCAGAGTATATGCGTTCCGGCCTTCACGAGTTCGTCCGCGAGGTTCAGATAGTAATTCAAATCATATTTTGATCGACTACGGTCCGACACGTCTCCGGTGTAAGAAATGGCTGCTTCGACTATGCCGCCGGCCTTTCCAACGGCATCGATCCCCAGAATCATATTCGGCAGGTAGTTCAACGAGTCGAAAATTCGGAAAATGTCCATACCGCTTTTTACAGCCATATCACAGAACCTGTAGGTAAATTTCAAGATCGAAGCAATCGGATTTTTAAAATATACAGTATTCTCATATTACCACCCATATATAATGCCAACAAATGTTCTTTTTTTTAAGGAAAATTTGTCGAAGTTGATGCGTGGACGCTTAAAGCCGCTCTCTCCGACACGAAACCCATTTCGAATCAAGATATATTTACAAGTAGAGAAAGCCTTTTGCTCATTCTCGATCAAACGAAGAAATTGCTTACTTGTAAACAACATTATCAGGGTATGAAGTGTACCCCACAGCATTGGCTCCTCGAAGAAGCATTTGGAATGGAATGTGCGGCATTTCTTTTCTCATACTCTCAAGGCGTTCCCAGGGACACTCTTTGAGAAAGCGCAATGCTACGTCGAAGGTAGCACCACCCCAATTTTCCACAGAAAACAAGTTGTTCAAGCGATGACTGACAAATGGGGAGATTTTGAGGATATCGTGAGACCGTACCTGGAATGCAGTGGAAAAAACCCGAAGACATGGAACTGTCAGCATGATGAGCGCCTTTACAAGCTTTCAGAGTGAATTCGAAGAAATATTTTAAAGCCTTCTTCCGGCTAGAACTGAATTTGGCGAAGAACAAGCCTGCTCTATAAATGCACACTAAGAAAATCCTGCGCGGAGGTACGTTCGAAAATACCGTAATCACCAGGAAAAGCACAGGAATGTGCCGAATGCAGCTGGGACGTCTTTTTTCGAAATATTGCTTCATACAATAAGGATACAACTGATATTCATACAACTGGTAAGCAGGAAATAATCACCCTCGTGGCGAGAAGAGACTGATGGGCATCACGCATCGTAGTATCCGTCAGCAGCAAACCTTTGTGTTGTCGAATCGCTTTAGCGAATTCTTTCGGACCTTTCTCGAGGAATACATTTCTCCAACCGGGCGGGCCGAGTTCACCTGAAGATAGACGGAAACACGCACTCATGGATCACATATATTCAAACGAAAGTTCCAATGGTCATTCGCACCCAATGGAGTGGTAGGGATTTTCACATGAATTTCTGCAGGTTTCAGATGTGTTCCCAAAGGCGTCACTGGACCATTAACCAGCAAGTTACCCAGAAAATTGAGCAGCTTTCCGGCTCTATTTTGAGACGGATGGAATTGGAATAAAGACGGATTTTCGTCAATGAAATACGTGTCGATGGTTCCATCTTGAAATTTTTCGTGATCCAAAACGTTCAACAGGAACGGAATATTCGTCTGTAAAATTGTAACATTCAAGAGTGATTTTGAAACAAATCAACGCAAAAACCGTTCGAACTAATAATCGAATCAACTCACTTTGACACCACGAACACGGAATTCTCTCAGAGCACGACTCATTTTTGCAGAGGCAGCGGGTAAATCATGCGAATGTGCAATGATTTTACACAGTAAAGAATCATAATAAGGAGAAATGATAGCCCCCGCGAAGGTTGCAGCACCATCCAACCGGATACCCATACCTTCGCCACTCCTGAAAACTTCGAGCCTTCCGGAGTCGGGTTGGAAATTTAAGGCAGGGTCTTCTGTTGTCACTCGACATTGAATCGCGGCTCCTCGCAACTCAATGTTATTCTGATTCAAACCCAATTCCGGAAGTGTTTGCCCCTCTGCGATCTTGATTTGAGCTTGAACCAAGTCAATTCTAGGAGAGATTCAATAATGAAATGAAATTATAAAATCCAAAGAATAAAAAGCTCACCCCGTCACTTCTTCTGTAACGGTATGCTCAACTTGTAGTCGAGCATTAACTTCGATAAAATGATGATTGCCTTTGTCGTCCAGCAGAAACTCGACGGTTCCCGCATTTTCGTATTGAACGTACTTCATGAGATTAACAGCATCTGTCGTGATCCTGTCACGGACCTGAAAAGACAGCAGATTTCAAAACGATCTAAACCACGAGAAGTGGCCAAAAATACCTCTACAGGGAGTCGGGGAGCAGGCGCTAGTTCAACCACTTTTTGGTGCCGACGTTGTACGGAACAATCACGCTCGTATAAATGCACTACATTCCCAGCAGAATCACCAAGAATCTGCACTTCAATGTGCCTCGGACGCTCGATGAACTTTTCTAAGAACATGGATCCATTTCCAAAAGCCGCCAACGCTTCTGAAGTGGCGCGCTGGAAGTTCTCTTCGAGTTCCTGAAAAATCTCAATCTCCCAAGTTTTGCTCACCCTTTAAAGAACGGCACGGAATACATACGTCCGGATCCCTGACGACCCGCATACCTCGACCCCCACCGCCGAAGGCAGCTTTGAAAATCACGGGCAACCCATGTTGGGCGACGAACTCTTTCGCTTCTGCCACGGTAGTAATTGGGTTCTCCGTTCCCGGCACAACCGGTACGCCTTAGAGCAGAAGCAACTAATGAGAAACCGAAAAATTGAAAGTTTTCCTGAAAACAAACCCGCCGCGATGGCAGCCTGTCGGGCTGCAACTTTGTCCCCCATTTGTTTCACGGTTTTTGATCTAGGTCCGATAAGTTTTATTCCCGCTCTTTCACAGGCTTCAGCAAAATCGGATCTTTCACTGAGGAACCCATAACCAGGATGGATCGCGTCGACTCCATTATTCTGATATAAAGAGAAGAAAATATATTTTGACTTCCGGGGCATCATGCTAAAGCAAATTACAAACTTTGGCGACGTGAATGATTTCAGGAATGTTCAAGTAGGCAGCAACCGGTTCGAGTCCTGCGCCAATAAGATAGGACTCATCCGCCTTTTGACGGAACATATGCATTTTGTCTTGTTCAGAGTACACGGCAACCGAACGGATACCCAATTCAGAGCAAGCTCGGAAGACACGAATGGAGATTTCACCTAAGAAAAATGTTTCGATGCAATCATTTTCGCATGAAAAGCTGCAGGAAAAAATTCATTTCGGTTGTCAGTAAGGAAAACGGGGAAAAATCGAATTCTGTACAATTTCCGTCCGTGAATTTCGAATGAACTCGAACAACAAATCAAACCTATTTCAATATACATCGGAATCGACCTCGCGAATGCAACATAACAAAATCTAGAGCTGGAAAGACAGCAGTGGTGTAACTCCAAGAAATGCAGTGCAATTCGCTCTAATGCATAAAAATAAAAATTATATGGAATTTATTGCTATCTTTCGCTTTTCTTCAACTGCCTCGATACAAACTATAGCTCTTTTTGGACATCCTCGTAAAATTTTTAAACATTTCTGAGTTCTGGAAGCGGAACTCAAGAATCAAATTCCTGAAAAAATAGGACTTGAAAATCCTTATCCTTACGTTCGCAAAAATTGCTGGTATCAATTCGGATTAAAATTCGCCGGTACAAATTTGAAGGAACAATATATTAAGATTTCAATATGCCAAGCAGACATGAATTCTTCATGCAACGGACAAAACCCATGGGTTCATTGAAAGCAGATGAATTAGTCATTATAAATGTACAGCAGGTTTGTTCAATACTGAATTTGCAGGCAATTTCAAATCACCTCGGTTGGCGACGAGAACCTTGCTAATCTTGCGACGTTCGCTGGATGCGAACCTATAGGAAGAAGCGCGCGAACTGCTCGGAATGAGGAGTCCCATTCTTCCGGTGCAATGACGCACATGCCGTCGCGCTGCAACGAGTCTCGCTGTGAGAGAACCAGCACTCGCCATCTCGAACAATTACCGCGGTTCCTCCGGTCAGCAATCAAGAAAACACATACGCTAGTACCTTACGAGGTGCTCGCGTCTAACACTGCGTCTGGAGATCAACCTAGAACAAAGGAGAGGGAGAAGACAAAAACGAAGGGTTAAGGAAAACAAAACGTTGTAGTCACAAAAACAGGAAGCCGCGGAACTGCTGGTAGTTTCGACTGTTACTGCATTTAATGGAATATGTGGACTGGGATATTTGGTTAGCCAAATGAGTCACTCTGAGAGTTAGCACGTGTTGACATCCGCCTTCAATTTTAAAACACGAGTTGAAGATTTTTATCCCGCACTGACACCGTTCCGGGAATCTTGAACACAGTACTTGGGGGAACAATGAATTAAAAAATATAATACAATACCCCGTCTTCAAAAGGGGAACCCGAACACACATTCTCTGAAACTTAAAATCCGTCTTGATGCATCAAGAATGATTCTGCTCGCTTCATCAAACAATATGTTGCCATCTTACGAGAAGCGCATCTGTCGAAGTTGAACAAAAACGATCACGTTAGATATTCGAAATTCACAATTTCTACGGAAAATCATGCAAGGTACTGATGTTAATCCCCGGAAAGTATCGATACGCATAACATCTTGATCGCAAAACATGAGCCATATGATCCCTACGAATGTAGTGGAATTTTTTTGAAGGTTGGGGGAGGCTTCTGTTCAAGTTTCCAACACGTTCACGCATTATGTTTAATCTGAAAAAAATTTCTTAGAATAAAAGTTCAAGAACAAGGGATTTCCACTCAAACCACAACTGTGTCATACATTGTGCATGATACAGGTACAGTACTTAGAAAAAAAGTGGATATTTTTGCGTCCCATCATTAATTTTGTTTTACATCTCTAAATATTTCCCATGGATCAGAGTGTTACCAATTCTTTCTCGGTTAATTTTTCTGAGCGACAACGGAAAGCACGAATGGCTGGAAGACATCCGTATTTTAAAATCTAGGTTGAAATCCATTTCAAGTTCACATACTCTAATTGACTCATTATGTGGTCACTAAATTAGTTAACACATCGCACTGTCGAGCATCGAACAATTTGATCTAAACGCCCTGAAAATTTCAAAATAATTATTTTTCGTGTACAGGTGACTAGAAAATTCGGGACCTTGTGACTGACGTTAGAATCGTGGACCTAATAGGATTCTTCAATGGAACAATGTTCTCTCAGTTTGTTTTATAATTTATAAGCATGCATTGCATACTGTACTTGTTGCAAAAGTATTCCAACAATCAAAATATGGCAAATTTTCGGTTTCTTTTAATAATTTCGTGGACAGTATCATGAAAATCGTTTGCTTATGCTTATTGGAAGGGCGCACGCATGCATACAGTCAATCACAGACAACCCCGACTTGCACAGCGATGGAAAATTTTAGAATTCCACGATTCATATCGTCATAATTGTGAATCTCTCGTCAAAATTTTGTGTAAGACGCGTCTTTCCATAACTAAATCCTAACATCAAAAGTTAGCGTCTCTAGCGCTTCCTGAACTTATCTCACTATAACCGAGACTTGATTTGCCGTGTTCAATAAAATCCCATCCCTTTGAACTACGGACAAATCAAGTTTGCAAGAAACGTTATGTTAAAAATAAGAGGGTACATCGATCTCAATCTTACAACATGAACACTGAGAATGAAAAAAAATATTGTTCGGAGTAAGCTAAAACTCTTCCACGTCCTGAGCATGAATGAAGCATTCAAGGAATGTACGAAATTCATGACCATTCCTGACCACTCTTATCTGCTCAATCGACGGTAGCTTCGATTTTTTCCAAATCGGCACCCAGGAACGTTATTGCGCGTAAACTTGGACACTTGACCACAAATTAAGCAAGTTGGAGTTAAGGGGGGGGGGGGGAAATCACGTCGATGCGGAGTTCACGGAACATTTCAACACTTCGGCCAAATACTGTATATACCATAGGTTGATACACGCAGGATGCATCGACTGTCCAATGCAGTCAACATCAAACTGAGAGGCTTACTACGACGCCAACGCATACTAAGTGAATGGTACGCGGGAGACGACCATAATTTATTATTGCCCAGAGCAATATGCATCGTAGCCCAAGGCCACGAACACACCACCCAGGCACGAAAACGCTGGTGCGCCTTCCAAGGAAGACCTCGATTAAATCGCGTTCGAAAAAAGACCTCAAAATCAGAACAAAAGCCACAAAACGTTCATTACCTCAATCGTAATGTAAACTTCAGTGTATAAAAAAAGACAGCAAAATCAGGATCCTCTAACACAGCCTCTAAACTTGAATATTTGTCTTCACCACCGCGTAAAAATGTCCAACATCCATGATCGTTCCCAGTTAATAAAAGTCACAAAACTAAAAATCAGATCTACAACCACAGAACAAAAAACGCATCGAAGCACCAAATGCACTGAACAGCAATGGCACAGATGAGCAAGATAGTTGTTAATGCAAATTAATGCGTCTGATTTACCTGTAATAGTAATTAGGTTAATGCACTCATGGGCAATTCCTGAGTCGTGCAGCTACAGTTTTCAACACTTTCTATTCTGCGCGCTTGCCGTTCAAGGGCTACTTCAGCTGATTTGTTTGTAACTTACTAGGAATAATCTGGGAACACACCTTCTACCCCGCGGTTAAATCACACGCCATGGACATTCAATGCCCTCTCGAACACTGACCCCGACTCGTCCTCGGCGTCGCGAATCTTCCCGAAGTTTCTCACGCAATCAAGCAAAATCTTGAAGGCGCATAGTCGGGTCCCGAGCGAGATCATCAATTCAAAATTGGAGAGGAAAAATAACTTGTGCCTTTAAAACCCGACTTCATTCAGAGAAATGTTTCTTCACGGCCAGAACTCGCTACCTCAATTCAAGCTTGTGGGATTCGATGTGAGCTGCTACAAATTCGATTGCAATGTGAACGAACCTGAGATCAGAGCAAGCCAGAAAAACAGATGATAAAGATGAAGTCGTTTCTTCCCTCTGGAGGCTTGGACCGTTAAAGGAAAAAAACAGAGTAGAACAACCTTGATTCTCCAGATTAAATTCCAATATGGACTGGCAGCGCAATGAAATGCAGGTCAGATGGATGTCGCGAACTGAATAGAAAAGACGCCGACTATGACAGCAGCAAGTGATACTTCCAAAACTTAAGTCGAATGTGGTCAGACACCAGGTATACGTTTTCAAGTACTGTAATATACTGTAGACTGTACTGTTATCGCAGTTCATTCATATAACATGAATTCACTCCAGTTGCAACAAAACATATTTCTAGGGCTATGGACATGCTTCTTGCAACGATGGGGAAATTCGATCGAAGATTCAAACTCATTGAAGGCATTGAATAAAATGCAGGAGCCTAGTTTAGCGCAGTGGTAAAAATACATCCCGTATGTATGTTGGGGCCACTGCTGGCGCTACAATTCAGAAATTTAACACAAGTCATCTGGTTAAAATTAGGTCCATGCTAAGATTCCCTGTTCCTTTATTTATGTCAGGCTGGTGAAAGTTATAAATACAGGTGCGTTTTGGTTGAGACAAGCTTACAGCACTAGGAGGCCGATCTGATACCTTGCCATCATCACTCTGCTCCACAATGTATTATTTGTATTTTATGATACTGTACTGTGTGAAGTTGTAAAATAAAATATCACTTCATAATAATTGCAGGGAGTAACTTTTGTGTTTCCTTTGGAAGTTGCAGAAAACAATTTAAATCTCCAACCCCAAGTCACATCGGAGAAGCAACTAAGTTAACAATAATTGCTTGATCAACAATATTTCTTACTTGCTTCCCAATTTAAGAGAACATCAGAAAACGGCTTCCCGCATGCAAAATGAGCTCATCACCCTGACACATCCGTCTTCAGAGAAAGCCCCGACAGGGACACAGGGAAACCCAAAAATTCCAACTTCCTTGATTTCTTCGCCAAGCGCAAGCCTTTTCCACCGAAGGAACAGAAGAGCATTAAGCAATGCTGCATTTGGTCCACTTCCTCCAATTCACACTACCAAGCGCGGCTATTTCCCTTTGTGAGACAGGGATCTCAGTGAAACGGTATCAAGATAACTTCTACTGTATCCAGATAATCGTCACCATGAAACCCACATCGGTCAAATCGCATCCCTATGCACGACTTTCAAGTCGTTTATAGTGATAAAAATGGGAACTTGAGAAAGTCAAATTCTGAACAACAAATATGGCAATTTGTTCTAAAGCGGTGAAATCAAAATCTGCAAACTTTACGAATGGTCCCTTTCTTACATCTTTTACGTGAATTGTGAAATGCTCATTCGAGGAGCAGAAAAATAACGATTTCGAAGGAATAAGATTAGTGTACCGAGTTAAACTCGGAAAATAAGAAAAAAATAGAATTAATGTTCAGTATACGAGGGTTCTAACAAAAGTTCTTGGAATGAAAATGAAAATGGCGTCTGATCGAGCTGAAAAAAAAATCAGCCCTGTTTGACAATTTTTTTCAATTTTTTGCAAAATTCACCCTGGCAGGGTTTTGCTATACACTCAACAGATGAGGCAATTCCGCCATTTTCATCGACAGCTGCCTTCACAGCCGCCACATTGGTTCAGAGCCGCCACATTAGCCCCAATGTGGCGGCTGTGAAGGTGGCTGTCGATGAAAATGGCGGAATTGCCTTGGATGACCTGGAGGCAACCCTTAGAAAGAATGCAAAGTTGATTTCAAGAATTCTGAGGAGAAAGCTGGGCCACAAAAAAAAAAAAAAACTTTAGGAAGGCTCCGGCGAGAAGTCCGTCCACCGTTGAGTGTATAGCAAAACCCTGCCAGGGTGAATTTTGCAAAAAATTGAAAAAAATTGTCAAACAGGGCTGATTTTTTTTGTGCCGAAGAATATGTTTGCCCTAAAGAATAATTTTTTTTTCAGCTCGATCAGACGCCATTTTCATTCCGAGAACTTTTGTTAGAACCCTCGTAGTAAAAATCTTCATTGCGATGAAACGCCAAATCGAGATCTTTGACCAAAACAAAAGGTTTGAATACAATGCATTATCACGAACAAATCCATGCAAAAATCG